TTTATATTCCCCCAGATAGACCAAACTGTCACTTCAATTGACAGGTTATCTCCAACTTTCTCAACCATGGCATAAAACAGTTCTATGAACACCTAATCTACTACCAGGCTTAAGAGGTTCTGAAGACAGTGGAGCCCTCTCTCATTATCACTTTAAGGTTTTCATTTGTAATAGAAAACCCAACCAAAAGTGGCTTAAGCAGCAGGGAAATTTATTATCTCACATATCAAATTTGGAAGTTCCAAACTTTGCTAATTCAGTGACTCAACAAAGTCATCAAAGACATGATTTTTTTCCATTTTTATTCTCCAGCATCCTTAGGATGTCGGCTATTGGTAATTATTTCTTCATACTAGACTGACAACGAGGAGCTCTGGTAGCGTAGTGCCTAAGGCACTTGACTGCTAACCAGAAGGCTAGCGGTTCAAACCCACCAACCACTCCTCGAAAGGAAGATGAGGCAATCTACTTCCATAGTGATACTGCCTTGGAAACCCAAGGTCACTATGAGTTGGGTCCGACTTGATGGCACATAACAACATATCGACAATGAGCCTACATATTTCCTTAAAACTACTGCCTGATGGCTGGCTGGTATGAGGAAAACAATGGTCTCATCTCCACTTTCGAAGGCAATTGAAAAATACATACAGGGTTGTTTTTTTTTTTTAAATGTAAATAACCTTTGATTTAGCATTCCATTTCTAAGAAAGCATCCCACAGAAACATGCAAGTACATAAAAACAGGTATAAAGATGTTTGTTACAAAACTGGCTTTAACATTAAAAATTTGTAAAGACCCTAAAACATTCATCGAAAGGAGAGAAATGAAATTGAGATCCATACAATGGAATACCTCACAGCTGTTTAACATGGAAAAATGTTCAAGTTTTGTTGGTAAGAATCAAGCTGCAGAGAGTATATGTGTGCAAAGAAATAAAAATGCCAAAATAAAAACCAAACTATAAATAACTGTAAAGAGTTTTATAAGGAAAAGCACCTAACTTTGAATAGTGACATCATCTCTGAAAAACAGTGGTGGGGAAGAGGAACTTTTGTTTTCCACTTTATATCCTCCTGTATTGTTTGTAGGAGCTTTGGTAGTGTTGTACCTAAGGCACTTGACTACTAACCAGAAGACTGGTGGTTCAAACCCACCAGCCACTCCTCGGAAGGTTAGGCAATCTACTTCTGTAGTGATACCACCTCGGAAACCCAAGGACGGGTTGCTATGAGTCGGATCTGACTCAAGGGCAGTGTGTATTCTTTTTATTTTGATCACAAACATGTACTAAGTTTTACTATTATGTAGTTGAATTTTAATAATTCCATTGAATCTCAATTTTTAAATTAAATTTAGGCACTACTAGTTCTAAAATGCAAGGAGCTATGGTGGCACAGGAGCTCTGGTAGCATAGTGCCTAAGGCACTTGACTGCTAACTAGAAGGCTGGCGGTTCAAACCCACCAGCCACTCCTCGGAAGGAAGGTTGGGCAATCCTACTTCCATAGTGACACTGCCTCAAAAACCCAAGGAGGGGTCGCTATGAGTCGGGGTCGCTATGAGTCGGGGTCGACTTGATGGCAAAATAACAACAACAACACAACAACATGGTGGCACAGTGCCTTATGCATTGACTGCTAACTAGAAAGCTGGAGATTCAAACCCACCATCCACTCCACAGGAAGGAAAACAGGGCAACCTACTTCCATAAAGATTTATTATGTCGTCGACTCGATGGCAGTGAGTTAGGTTTTTGAGCTCTGAAAGGACTAACTAGGTAAAGTTCCCGTGGCATCTACTTACGTGGAACTGCCTATCAGGCTTATCCCAGGATCTGTCCATGATACCTCCTGGTCCATAATGCTTTGCTGTTGATCTTGTTGTTAGGTGCCATCAAGTTGTCTCCAACTCCTAGCAACCCTACGCACAGCAGAATGAAACACTGCCCGGTCCTGCACCAGCTCCATGATTCTTGCTGTACTTGAGCCCATCGTCGCTGTCACCGTGACAGTCCACCTCGTTGAGGGCCTTCCCTGCTTTCGTTGACCAAGCACCTTACCAAGCATGACATCCTTCTCCAGGGAATGATCCCTTCTGACATGACCAAAGTAGGTGAGACAAAGTCTGGCCATTCTCGCCTCCAAGAAGCATTTCAGCTGCACATGCTTTAGGTAATCCAAATTAAACAAAGATCTACTCTCTAATCCTGAAATTGTTTGACAAACGCAATACAATGACAAGACCTGGTGCCTGCACCAGGACTTTAAAACTATTCTGATCCTTCTTTCTCCTTATCTATGACTAATAGAAAACAAGGCCAGCACCAGTGATCACTTTTCTCTCAGAGCTGGTTCGTTACCCCACCTACCTCCCCTTCAAGAATGTTACAAGACAGTTAGTGGGTGGTTAGCAAGACCCCTTCAGAATCCAACAACCATTCTAGAAAAATAATTGCTCCCCTATCAAGGGCTGCCAGCAAGAGCAGCATGTTTCAGTAACCTTAATGAAGCAGAGAGCAACGCCTCCTATAATACAAATTCTGGTTGGAAGAAAAGATCTACAGATTGTGGAAAAAGTACAACTTAAAAGGAACCACCACAGGCTCCAGTAGAGCAGAATAGCAAGCAGATTTCTAAATACAGAGTTCAATTGTAAGAGTTCACTGTACCTTATTTCTCACTATCATCATCTGCTCTGTCAAAAATAGAACTTCCATGTCTTGATCCATTCAGAATAAGCCACAGCAGGCATAGCTCTGTTTACACAAGGCAGGCAGGTCAGAGAGGCTGCAGAGGGAAATGGAAAAAGCAGCCAGCAGGTTTTCTTAGGGATTATACTGCTCCAGCTTTTTATCCCTCTTCCTAGCTATTTTGGTGCCAAGAAAGCTGCAGGGAGGTCTTTGCTCTGCTATGAAAAAGCTCCAATCTTTTCACCAGAAGGGTTGAAGCAATCTTGGGGCTGTAACTCTCTCTGTTGCCCAACGTTTTCTTTGCATGCTGTAAGCAGGTACAATGAATTTCAAAATCTCAAATGTTAAAAGAGCCAAACAACCCTATTTTTCAAACTATACCAAAAGTTCCAGCTCATCACTTACTAGTGAATCTGTACAAAGAACTAAAAAACTTGGGCCCTCATTTCTCTGATCTGCAACAATGGCATGTTTTCACTATTTCACAGGGCCATTATACACAAAGCAATGCATAGAAAGCACTCAGTAATGCCTGGTCCACAGAAAACAGTAGTGCAGAGTAGCTACACTGGTACTGCTTAATGGGTTAAAAATGTGTATGATTATAGCTGATTTGTAGATCAAGTTTACTAAGGTAAATTTAGGTAACTCTTTAGAAGCTGAGTTAAATTAACTTCAGAAGCAAATCATAACGATGTCCCCAAATAATACTTATGGGTAAATCACTATCTTTAATTTTCTCACAAGTTCCCAGACGTGTCCAAAATGAATCTCTTGGTGTAAAAGGATCTTATAATAAAAAATGAACAGAGACAAAGGAATAAAATGACCTAAAAGACAAAGAGTTTAAATATGAAAGAGGCACAGCTGGAAAGCCAAATTCTCAACTGGACTGCCTACTACATTCACCTACAAATCTCTACCTCGGGAAGGGTTTCATTTACTTAGTTTATTCTCTATCTTCCTCATACTGTTGTCATGTGCCAACAATTCAATCCCAACTAGATACTGACTGTGTAAGAGAGAAGAACTGTCTCATTGGGCTTTCTTGGCAGTAATCTTTATAGGAGCAGATCACTGGGTCTTTTCCCTTGAGGAGCTACTGATGGGTTTGAACTGCCAACTTTTCAGTTAGCAGCCCAGCATGTAACCACCGCACCACCAGTGCTCCTTTGTCTCCCTCACAGGAACCTAGGAAAGCATGAGCTGGATTTCTAAGTCCTCTTTTCTCACTCAACCTTAACTACACTGCCCATTAGCAGAATTTAAGGTAGGTCTTGTTCATCTTTTAAGATCTAATTTAACAGCATTTGGCATTGATATTAAAACTATTTATTTACCAGTTTGTCTCAACCATATTTATTCATCTTCGAATCTCCACCTCCTGTGTTGAGGTAACAGCAGATGCTCAGTAACTACTTATTTAACAGAAGTCTAACTAAAAGTACCCCAAGATATTGGAGGAGAGATTTATCCACATGAGTTCAATTAGAAATCTGCTATTACTGGGGGAGCAACCAAAATTCTTAGGGCTAAGAACAAGAGACAGGTGTTTCCCCAATTAACATACTACCATTTCAACAATTTACCAGTTCTGCTTATGGTCTTTTTTAGACTATGAATCTCACAAAGTCTCTCTCCCCTTAGCTCTTTTTCTCCTCTTCCCTTAACTCTTAACAGAGGCCAATTTTAATGTAGTTTTAAGGCACCCATTCTTTGCCCATATCTGAATACTTCTCACACTCTAATCCTCAAGATAAAAAAACTCACAAATATCTTACACAGTGACCAAAGCTATTAAAATGTCTCCAACCTATTTTGGTTTGAAACTGTAGCAGTATTCCAGCATCCAAAATTAGAATTGATGATTAAGATATACATTAGTGCAATAAATACCCTTTGTTCACTTTTGCAGTCCCTCCCTTCCCAGCATTAGCTCCTCACCTGTCAGGTACGATTCCTCTTTGCCTTTAATAATCTACAGGTCTATGCCCTGAGGAAAACAAATGCCCAAGGCAACTGCCACACTTCAGAAAGCTTTAAAATAAATATCAACAACTAATGGTGCTACTATGTAAAAAGTCTACCACTGGACAGGAAGAAATAATAATAATAATAATAATGATAAAAAACCTTAATAAAAACAACCCCACAGCATTTATTGTTATCTGGTAACAACATAAGAGTAATCAAGACAATATGAACACATGTTTTAGAACTATATTCATAACAAAGGACATCTTAAAAAAAAAAAAAGGAGGGGGGAAATACTATTGCCCTCAACAACTTCTCACTTCATTGATCATTTCTAGTTGGATACACTTTGTAGCAGGGTAATATTGTCTCCTTTTAGCATGATCCGACCTGTAAAACAAAACAAAACAAAAAAACTATTAATAGTCACACATACAGACAACTGAGTAATTTCTCTTATGAAAGTATGTGAATATTTTCAAGTGTCCATATGCCAAAAAGGAGCTCTGGTGGTGTGGTGCCTAAGGCATCTGACTGCTAACCAGAAGGCTGGTGGTTCAAACCCACCAGCCACTTCTTGGAAGGAAAGCTGGACAATCTACTTCCGTAGAGATACTGCCTCAGAAACCCAAGGAGGGGTCACTATGAGTTGGATCCAACTTGATGACAGTGAGTTTGGTTTGGGTATGTTAAAAGGCTGTCAGAGTCCATAAGAGCATATGTTGTTGTTGTTATGTGCCGTCGACTCGGACCCGACTCATAGCGACCCCTCCTTGGGTTTTCCGAGGCAGTATCACTACAGAAGTAGATTGCCTTATCTTCCTTCCGAGGAGTGGCTGGTGGGTTTGAACCGCCAGCCTTCTGGTTAGCAGTCAAGTGCCTTACACTTTCAAAAATAACCTATTGAAGGTTATTTTATGAAAAATATAATTCACTCTCTAGAGACTAAGTCAACTGAATAGATTACTACAGCATTTCCTACTGGTTTGGGATTATAAAAGTTTAGAAGTGAGCTGTATGCCAACTTCAGAAAATGTAACATACTACAACCCCATTCTTAGAGCTGTGAGCATATTAAAGACTCCATCCTGCAATAAACAAACCTGTTTTAAGTTTTACCCAGCATTCCTAACCTTATTTGAGCAGAGAACACTTTTTTTGGAGAATGCCTATAACATGTTGAGATACATTAGCATTTAATAACACAGTTTGGGAAATGCTAACCAACCCCAATAGTGTTTAGAATGATTCACTTTTCTAAGTTTCTATAGGTACGCAGCATATTAATCTATTCCACAGGATGGGAAATTAAAACTTTGCAAATAAGTTATAAATAATATGACCTCAATGAAGCTAGCTTGCCCTTCTTGACCTGCTGTCTTTAAATTTGAAAAATCTAGGCTTTCCTAAAATTATTAAGCAGCAAGAAGCATAGCAAAACATTACACCATTTCTTAGATTCTACTTTCCATGTATCTGGTATGGGCTCAAGAGAATCCTCAGGGTCTGGAAACAAGAGCCACCAGAAATTCACCACTGGTCAAAGTGCCCATTATCCGTGAACGGGGTATTAAACAAACAAAATTCCTAGATAAACCTCAAATTAATGAGACATTAGTAAAATGATTCCATTTAACTTAATGAAGCCATGAATCCTAAAGACCTCATTAACTGGGTTAAGTTAAATGCATTCATTATTCAAATATCTGAATCTTTACTATGTGCCAGACATGGAGTTAAATACTGAGCAACTGGCACTTAGTATATTAGGGAGCAAAAAAAAAAAAAAACAAAAATAAAAACAAACTCCACAACTCATATACTTATAGAGCCTCTGATCTAATGGGAAAGACATTAATACACTAATCTCACTAATGAACGTTTTACTACAAACTCAGAGTATGGTACTCTACCCTTCCCCAAGCAAAACAAAACCCTGGGCTTTTAGAGAAATTAAAACCCGAGTTATGTGAAGATGCAAAGGACTGGAAGAAAACAAGTATGAAGCTCAGAGAATGAGAAAGAGTAACATGAGATAATCCAACAAAGGGAGATAATGCCCATCGCACAGGGCATGGCAATACACTTGAAAGATTATTATTTTTTCAATCCTGAGTACTTGAAAGACTTCAAGTAAAGGGTTGACAAGATCAGACTGGTGTTTTTTCAGAAGCTGACTATTGGCAGCCTGAAGAACAAACTGGAGGGAAATGAAGAGGTTGCAGAGAAAACTCAAATAGCTCTAAGAAATGTGTGAGGGGTGGGAATTTAATTTAATTTGTGATATGCTGATTTTGAGAAGCCTTTCAGATATTCAAGTGGAATGTTGAATATGCTCAGAGAAGAGATCTGGATTACAGACATAAATGTGTTAGTTAATATACTGATGATAATTGAAGCTGTAAGTCTTAAATGCCTAGAAGACAATACTGAGTGACAGGAGGGCACAGAATGAAGCCTTGAGCTACTCAAACTTTAGCAACTGGGTCTGAGAGAATGAATCTACAGAAGTCAGAAAAGGAATCTTCAGAAATGGAAAATGAAAATGAGTCAGTTTATCAGAGCCAACGGAACAAAATGTTTTAAGGAGGGAGTGGCCAACAGTGTCAAAGGTTGTTTAGAATTAAATAAAATGAAGACTAACATTGACCATGAATTTAACATTAAGTCTTTGCTGACTTCAGTAAGAGCTGTCTGGATAGAGTGAGTGACAGATGCAAAAATGGAGTAGGGTGAAGTAAGTGAAAGAAGATAATTTCAAAAGCATCTACTACTCCCCCAAATAATAACTTCTAAAATGCAAACTAAATTTAAGCATAAACTGAGTTTCATGTCATTAATTCTACAACTGAATAAAAATTTCTAGGATGCTGTAAGGGCATATATATTCTTACCGAGTTGTTTTCTTGATTTTGTTTTAGAATGAATCTCTTCTGCATCATCTAATACAAGGTTCATGTACTCATCAAAACCCTAGAAAAGAAAGTGATCATCATCTTCAAGTTAGATCATATCCAAACCACTCAAGAATTAATGTGTCTAGATACAGAACGCCAACTAACTTCAGAAATCCACCCCTTGACTGATCTTTCACCTGAAGGAGGAGATATGGAAGCACCACGTTCCACCCCAAGCCTCTTTTCAAAGAAAGCCAGTAGGTATTCTAAATCATTTCTCAAGCTTTCTGGACTTATGATTCCATTAGCTACGTCAAAGAGCCATCTTCCCCCTTTTATAACCTGCCTAATATATCCTCGGAAGGAAGGTTGGGCAATCTACTTCCGCAGTGATACCACCTCGGAAACCCAAGAAGGGTCGCTATGAGTCGGGGCCAACTCGATCGCACATAACAACAATAATATATAGTATTTATATATGTATATCAATTATCTTCTACTGCTACTACTCGCCCAATTTCCCCACAATATGCTATCACCACTAAACACACTTGTTTTCCAACTGGTAACTGGGGTAGGAGAGATTATTGATGGAAAGTAAGATATCTTGCTGTCATGTCTAAATGGAATACCAAAGTGTCCTCACACAATACTTTCAGCTATATTTTAACTGTTTTTTTATAACATTATACTCCATTAACCTCCCCTTCCAATTTTATGTCTTCTGAGGGAGCGCTGGTGGTATACTGGTTAAGCAGAAGGTCAGCAGTTCAAACGCACCGCCACTTGCAAGAGAAAGATGTGGCAGTCTGCTTCCATAAAGATTAAACCCCTGGAAACCCTATATGCTACTCTATTCTGTCCCATAAGGTCACTGTGAGTTGGAATCATCTCAATTCTCTTCTGTCCCTCCCTAAACATCAATATTGCTTAAAAAAATAATAAGATTTATTTATTGTTCATAAGGATGTTTGGAAGCATCTGGAACTGGATAGTCCAGGGATAATATGAAAGTTCTCCTAAACACAAATACTTTAAGTCATTTTCACAATTTAATTTTCCCTCTCTTTTTCTGAATTACTCAACCCCCATAACTAGAACAATGAAACAGGGCTAACTAGCGGGACCTGAGAAACTTGCTGTGGGCTGAGTCTTTGACTTTTCATATTTTGTGCTGCCTGGACATTTTCTGTGAAGTCTTTTTCTATAAACAAACTGCTCTGAGATAAAAATATACTGAGTACTCACTATGATACAACCCTCTATCCGCATATTCACTTGCTCATAGAGCCACACCTGAATCCGGGATCTCTGAAATAATCATAAAAAATAGAAATATTAAAATAAGTAAACACAATCCAGTCACTCTGGTTAAACAATTAAAAAGACCTTTGACTCCTAAAAAACTATGTGATAAATATAAGCCACGCATTCTAACCAGGAGGCCCATAACTAACAATCAAGGTACATTACTTGCCAAGAACGTTTTCATTTACTAAAAGATATACTGTGATCGTTCAGACTAACAAACTGCCTGTGATCTTGAGACTCAATTATATTTCTTACTGCATATAAACACCCGCCCCCCAACGGAGGTCACTATGAGTTGGAATGGACTTGATGGCAGTGAGTGTAGTTCAAACACATTTAGGCTGAAAACTGGTGACATGTAGCACAAACCACTAAATTCCAATGATCAAGGTTAAGGGTATTATTTCTTATCTGCTAGAAAAAAACCCAGTTCCAGATTAAAGCTTACTCTTAATTTCTCAGTTTTCCATGACACACCTCTAACAACCAGAGGAAGGACCATCAATTCTGGTGATTAGAAATTACAATGGCTCAAAATTAATCTGTTTTTCACCTGTGTTGCTTATAATACATTGAAATTTGCCAGAGCAACAGGAACTCTTTCAGAGATACTTTAGAACAGCTGATCCATCAACTCAAAATATGAAAAACAAATACTGCAATCCATCAACTCAAAATATGAAAAAAAATACTGCTAAAAATCCTCCCAAAGGAAAGGAGGCTGCTATTAAATCCCTCTACAACTATTTCTAGGAGCTCTGGTAGCATAGTGGCTAAGGTACTTGACTGCTAACCAGAAGGCTGGCGGTTCAAACCCACCAGCCACTCCTCAGAAGAAAGATGGGGCAATCTACTTCCGTAGTTATACTGCCTCGGAAACCCAAGGAGGGCTCGGGATGAGTCGGGTCCCACTTGACGGCACATAACAACACAACTATTACTTACCTCCTCCTTTTAAAATTTTTTTTTCTTGTATTTAAGTTTCTTCATAGTCACTAAGCACACAATCTTATGATGCGATTTAAGTTGACTGAGTTTTTCTTCCAAGCAATGTTTCAACCTTTTCCAACCGTAAGTGAAGGAGAGGAAAATGCTCCCATACTCTGGCCATAATTACTTTAACAAAAGTACCAATGCCCAAATACTATCACCATGTCTATCAATGAATAATGTCTAAATTTGGTCTTGCAAAAAAAGACACAATTCTTTGCATTCTTGGAGTTGACAACTATATATACTATTTTGTTACATTGAAGCGTTCCTTACACCTTTTACACAGTTATCAGTCCAACCGCCCCCCCCCGCCCAAGTTTCATTTTTTAACGCTAGAACACAGCGATCCGGCAGACTGCAATATATAGCTTAATAAACTTAACTTTTACTTAAAAAAAATCATTACGAAACAATTAATAACAAACAACTTACGTACATTTTGCAAGTATCTGAAGATGAGATTCTGCACCACAGTTGTTAAGGAAAAAAATACACGAATAACAAACAGGCTCTGTTCTCTGAAGCTGGCCGATCTAATCCCACCTCTCTTTTTGGCTTGTTATCTTAACGTGTGGTCTCACGCCTACACAACCAACAGTGTTCAACAAAAGGCACTCAAACGAGGAGCCCCTAAAAACCCGGAAGGAATCCCCTCACTCCCTTATAAGCTAGATATTTCATCGGTTCTGACATCTTCCTCTCTCGAACAGGTAATTCCGCTTTAAGTCGTCCCTGCTCAGCACAGTCATCCTACATTCCCCACCACAGCGTGCAGACAATCCTCACCTCCCACCCACCACCAGTTCTTCAACTACCCGCGCTTTCTCCGTGTCTCCGTCGCCCCGGGGGCTCATGGGACGTGAGCCGCACTCCTCTCCTTCAGGCCTGGTCTGTGCCTGTTCATTCGCCCTCCGTTTTCTGGTTTGAATCTCCTACTCCTGACATCTCGAATAGGATACAATGGGCTGCACCATCACCTTCTGCACTTTCTGGCCCTGACCACGGTACGCCATGGTGGAAGCTCACAAAGACCACACTAACCCACACGTTAGCTCGAAAAGCAACTTCCGGAATTAAGAACCGGAGACGGAAATGTATTGTGGCCTCGCGGCGACCTGACGGCTCCTGGGAAGTGGCTTTCTAGCAAGAGAATCGCTTTCTCTGTGCTCTATAGCCTCCGGGGGAGGCCAAACTGAGGGCACCGAACTTTGGAATCTGGGTCAATCCTACAGCGCCACCTGGAGTGAGGTAGCAGGAGGTGCTGAAGGACTTCGGTTGTGCTGGGGAAGCGGGGGGCGGGGGGAAGGCGGCAGAGAGGAAGGCGGCAGGGCGTTTCCGTTTTCTGACACTGCTTTGAGAGTTACAATTGTTGGATTGCTCTCTCTGT